GGTCTTTTCCAACCTAAACAATTCTATGATTCTACGATTCTTTTTGTGACTTTATCTAGTGAGGAGCTGGGCTAGAAATCTGCCACGTGCCACAGCTTCTGTTTCCAAAGCCAATCCATTGATCAGCAACCCGGCCTATGTTCCCCACCCTTGTAATATGGTGGTTTCTGGATTCATCTTCTCTTCTTTGTTTGCATTCATACTCTCCTCCTGCTCATGCATATACTGCCAGTGGTGAACTCTGAAGTAGCTTAAAACACAGTGGGAGGATGCCAGCAGTCTTTTGATTTGGGAAAGTTCAAGTGCACAATTTCTGCACATTTAGAAATTAATCTATTATTGTGCTAGGTGACAGAAGAACTCACTAGTGTCTGGCTTTCTATTTGCTTTTTCTCCCACCATTTCCCATAGATCCAAGTATGGAATACTTTCTACTTCAGGCCTTCTTGAAAGCTCATGGTAGTAGATTGGCAACCCTGATATGGAGCTGATTAAACCCTACTGAAATAAATGTTACTAGTGTCATCTTCCAGTGTTATGGTTACATACACACATAATGGGGAAAGGAAAGCTTGAGGTAAAAGTTCAAAACTTTGATGTCTGTGGAACAAGCCCGTGTATACAGACAGATAATTCATACTTACTTACATTTAACAATGATATGACAAGTGATATAAACGAGCCCAACTGCAACTGGAATCTAGAAGACAGCTCTCACTTTTAGAGAGGTGATGTTGTGGCACAGCTTTCCAAAAAAATAATGGGGACCCACAATCAAATCAGGTTTTTATGGAACTTAAATTCATTAAAGGAATTGCGTGAAATACTGCTTGAAATAGAATGAGGACCCAGAAGGCTTGTTTCAGCCTTGTGTTCTTATTTTACGTGTACATCAGTAGTGCTTGAATGGACACTATGTTATTAATGGAAATTAATTCATTTGTACCTGCTAAAGAAAACAGCTCCTAAGGGGCCCAGGAAACTTTCTTCCAGCCTTTTGTAATTGTGATCAGGGATACTTGGATCATTAATCAGGTTTTAAATTATGAAGAATTTACTCTCCTGTAAAGGTGTGTTACATAAACGTGAAGTTCTGTCAAGTTGCATTCACCTCAGTGTCGACATCAAATCGCATCACATGAATACTTTGGCCCCACTTCCGATGACTCATTCTTCTTTTATGTAAAAAGTCCAGCTGATCTTTCTTTTCCCCTCTCATCCATCTTAGCTTGACAAAACCCGTTTCAAATGAATGTTTCAATTTTGCAACCGATCTATGACATTTTCAGTGGTAAATCAGTATCTCCTTCCTTTTACACTTTCCCCAGATGAACTGTTTAAATAAATGTGATACTCTAAGCTAACTTGGTCACCCAAAAGTTTTGCTACCCAGGGCACCTGGGACCTTGCCCCTTTTTTAGTAATATGACTCCTGTGGTGCTTAGTTGTTTGGATGAGTGCAGAAGGACAGTTCTCTTGGCCGTAATGCCTGATCTCCTTTCCCTCACTTCTTACAGGTCGTCCAAGCACACCCAGCAGTCTTACTGTGCTTGAACAGATGAAGAAACTCCAAGAAATGGTGAGCCAGAAAACCAAGCTGGAGATCGGCGATATTGTCAGGGTCAGAGGTCACATCCGAACCTACAGGCAACAAAGAGAAATTCAGGCTTTATGTTTTTGTGAGTGTTATGGATCTGTGACATATGTAACTTAATTGTCTGAATTTGTAAGAAGATCTAAGCTGTATGTAATTCATTGTATAATTTCTACTTTATTTTCTGGCATCTCATTTTTCTAAAGAGATTTTCATCTATATGTCTTTATTTCAATTTTAGCAGTGTAAGGTCAGAAGACACACTACTTAGTGTGGGATTAGATTGCCTGTAAATAAGGCATGCCTGGAAAACCTGTAAAAGATGACTACCACGCATACAAGAATGCTATGCAGATACTGTGGTTGGGTATCTGTGAGAGTGACTTGCTCTTCCATTTTCTTTGTGTTGAAGTAGAACAGCCAAAGCCCACGGGAAGGGAGTTGGTGTCATTTTTATGTCACACTTCATCAAGAGTGTTAGCTGCTTTGGAGAAACAGTTGCTGTTTGTCACAGCCTGTATAATTCATTCCATGGGCAGAAAGCAGCATGTGGGCACATTGTACTACTGAAGCCCAGGTTCTCCTAAACTCTTGGGCTCTGCAGAATGACCGAGAAGCGTTCTTAATTTTCAGTCACTCGGGCACAGATGTTCAGGTGCTGCCCCTGTATCTGACAGCAATTTGAGCAGCAGGGTTCTGCAGTCCACTGTTTACACCCTAGGAGCTTCCAGTTACATAACTTCTCTTCTCTGTGTCTGTGCTATTGTATAAGAGTTGGTTTTCCCCAGTGAAATCTTCCAAAGAAAATACTCAAAAAATTCCTTTGGTGGTGGGGAAGCCCGTCTTTTAAAAAACCCTGTAGCTCAGATAAAAAGTCTGTAGATTTTTCAGCTCTAGCTAAAATCTGAGAAGGGATTCAACCATCCTTTCCAGACAGAAGATTTATGAATATATAACCCATTCAAGGGCTGGTAATAATACCACTGTTTAATTAAAGGAGAGCCACACAATTCAAATAGCTTCTAAATTGCTTTCACTTTGGCCCAAATAAAGCTCCTTACTATGCCTTAACTTCATCTAATAGATAAAGATTGCTGAAAGGTAAAATAGAGATCATAAATTCCTGTTAAATAAGTTGTCAGACAAAAGCATAATCTGCAATGCACCACAACAGGTCATTTACCTCTGTGTAAACTGTAAAAGCAGGAGTGGCCTTTGTGGTTTTGTTTTTATAGAAACAACAGTGAATAAAATTTGCCAAGTTAATACTGGCATGTGAAGCTCTGTTGTGCTGCCTCAGGTATACTTGCTTAAAAGATTGGTATGGCAGTTCTGGCCAAGTATGTGTGTTCTTTTTTGCTGCTCCAGATAAAGTGGATGATCCTGTGTGTGATGTACAGATTTCAAGAATGCTGGAGCTCCCCTGTCTCTACAGAGAAGTTTATGATAAACCTTTCCAAGGCCCTGAGGAGGGACAGAGGTAAATGCAGTATCCAGACTGGTCTTGGGGCCAAGTGTGGGATTTTATTATAATTTGTTATTGCAGTAACTGTGGAGAAACATAGAACAGGGCCCCACAGTGATTTAGACACCGCACAAGCATACAGTAGTAGCCTGCTTTTCTCCAAAATAATTGATGATCCATACAGATGAGATACCTGTCTGTAATCTGAGAAAAGAAATGTAATGCTGAATCAAAGTGAATATTAGTAAGGTTGTAAAATACTGTGTACAGACCTCTTGCATCTAGTAAAGAAAGCTGGGGTTTGGAGCAAGATTTGGGGATGAGGTCAACAAATTAGATGGAAGAGTATCCTTGCCTAGTTTTGTTTTATGTGTAAGGATAAGGAGCTATTCCATCAAAATGCTCTCACCTTCTGCTGCCTGTGTCATCATCAAATCACAAATACATAACCTCAATAAACTGCATCAAACACCCATTCCTGTATTCAGTTTAAGGGTAGCTGGATGCTTATTGGCAGGTCTGATGAATGTAGTGTGTCTTCAGAGATTGTAGATCTTAAAATCACAACACTGTTACAGCACATAGAATCATAGAATCGTTTAGGTTGGAAAAGACCTTTAAGATCACATGATTGAAGATGAACAGTTGGATGTTTATTGCATATAAAAATGGTCTGGTTTAATTAAGGGTTTAAATTCAGATTATTTAAGGACAGTAAAATACCTTTTGACCTTTAAAAACCAGTTTAGCAGGCTAACTTTTGGTAATTGTTCTAAAAAATGTTAGTGGTGTATTTCTTGCCTTTGACATGTTCTATGTATCCTTGTAGTGGCCTGGAAGGTCAGAATTTCTCAATCAATATACTGCATGACAAGGTGAAAGGCTTTCTATTAGAAAACAAAATTCAAACCTTTTACCAACAGGAGTTGGAAACAATTGATACTCTGGTGTCACTGGCTGGTGTTCATCTACCCAGTCCCAGCTGTCAGGAGGTGAGTCAGTATAACTGTTTCAAGCTTTTAGTGGTGGGAAATAATACCATGTACTTTTTTTAAGCATGAACAACCAGATGAGAGACTGGTGCCTTTAGAGGATTCAAAAACCACAAGTGCTTTATCTTTATGCATGAATTATTTACAGAGCTTGAGGAAACCTTGTCACTTGAGACATATAAAACTGGACTGAAGAAAGCCACAGGAGAAAATTCTCTTGTAAGGGTAATCTTGTGTTAGGGCTGAGTAACCTTAGAGTCTGCAACAGGCACCAACTTATTTAGATCTGTAAATAGTGGCAGTATCAGGAAAGGAGAACCCTTTAAGGTGCTTAAGTTGTTTGGGACAGATGTTTGAGGACCTAAATTTGATCAGGAGAAGGGAGGACAAAGCCTTTGTCTTGTTTCTCATTTGAAGCTCAATATATTAATAGAGATGTAGCTTTCAAAAGGATATTATAATGAGTGGATGAACAGTGCTCCCTGCTACATGTTTCTCTTGTTGGAATCCCTAGTTGTGAAAGTCCATGATTGAAAGGATCAGAAGGTGAGATTTAATTGAAATCAGTTTACATGCAGTTGCATGTAACCAAACTGTTAAGAAACTGTACAGTGAGATAGTATAGTCTTGATCAACTGCAGAACAGGAAACAGAACAAAAAACATTTTGTAAAATGGCTTTATATTACTCTGTGTTGTTTGGATAAATTACAAACCAGATTCTTGACTGGTGCGAGGTGGTAAATTTCTGCAAAAGTAAAAGAGTTATAGCTTTTACCATGTTACCAGTGGCAACTGAAACTTAAACCTAGAGCATTGTGACTCACTTGTTTACTTTTTGGTTTTCTGTAGAGAAGTAAATCTATGGCAGTCATTTTCACTGCCTGATTCTGATATGCACTGTAAAGTTAAGTGCTATGTTATGTTAACATCAGATGTTTGTTTAATTCTTAAAAAAAAAAAAACCCAACCAACCAAGCAAAAACAACCCCAAGAACCAGTCCCTTGTAGATGAGGTCAAATAGTAATGAAAAGTAGCTCTGTTCTTGTTGGCCTTGTTGAACTGCTTCTGATAGCTGCTTCCTGATAGCCATTTCTTTTATTTTTATTAAAGGCATTTTTGTTGTTTGCTTTAAAGCAAGCGTGGATATTAACAATAACAGGAGCTACTCTCATTTTTGACAGAAAAGTTTGATACTAGAGTATCCAACATGGGACAGGGTATTTTTTCTAAACTAGCTGGAACAGTATTAAAAGTTCCCAAACACTTTACGTTAAAGGAAGTAGTGGTCATTGTGACTAAAACTGGAAACTTCCATCTTTGAAATTTCAGCATTTATAGAAAGATCAAGATTGATAACTTGCAAAGCCATTTAAAGTAGGAATTGGTGCAGAACAAACATAGAAAGGCACAAAAAAACCCCCCAAACCCAAAAAACAAACCAACAAAAGCAGTGTAGCATCAATGTTGTTAGCAGTCATGAGGAGCTATCATAATAATTAATAGTTGCTCCTGACCCTGATGCAGGGGTGTGAGTATATGTCCCAGGAATTTGGACACACAGATGCTTATTTAGAAATTGCAGTTCTCCCTGTTGCCCTTTGGTATTAATTCCTTGCAAAGAGGCTTATATATCTTTGCATAAAAAAGAACCTGCAGTTGTCAAGTGACCTGAATGCCTTAAGAGGAGTGCCTAGTAATGCTCTGGAAATGCATTTCGTTGTTCCTCTGCTCTGCCTCTTGAAGGTGTCACTTCTCATAATTGGCAAAGGGTCAAGTACCCAGTTTGATCCACAAAAATAAGTGTAATAGATTTCATTTCTGTCCCTCTTCCTTTCTTTGCCCCTCTGTAGTCTTCTGTTTTGTGTGGCCCTAAAGGGTGCTCCTATCGTGGAACGATGTTATTTCATGCCTATTTAGCAAGGCAGGAGCTAGATGAGTGGACCAAACTAATTAGGCCACACCACAATATACACACTTGTTCACTTTTTGCACTTTTCCTGATGTGAAAGGATGAGTTACTTGGATGTGTAACTATTTTTTTTTTTACCCTGATTCCAGTGTTCTAGAGCACAGTTGCTGTTAAACTCTTTTCTTGCCTCTTTCTTCCTTTCCCTGTGATCCTAGGAGATGTGGTGCACCCCCTTCATCTCTTTCCCAACTTTTAAAGTATTTGCAGAGTGTACATCATAGTGGGAAGGTATCTCCCCATGGAATATTTTCTCCAGGGAGGTGGTGAGCTGCTAAGGAGTCACTGGCAGTGGAGCAGAGCAGGGGATGAAGATGGAAGGAGGTAGCTGGGATAGCTTGAGGTAGGCAGCATCTCTTTTTTTTCCTTTTCAGCATTACTGTGCCTGAGCCCTGTCCACGTCCCATACAATACCTAGTTCCAGTCCTAATGGCTCTGAGCATTGTAGTCTTCTGGTTCTCCAGAATAAATTTCCCTTTAGCAGATGCACTTGGCAGAACTCAGATCATGTCCTCTGCTCAGACATATACTAAAGAACATTTAATTTTATAGTCTACAGAGGATGAATAACAGAATTGTAAGGCTTGGTGTTTTTAAAAATACTTAAAAATTAACAAATGTGTTATGATTTTTAAAACCAGTGGAGCTTTATTTTGCATAACCACTGCCTCCTCTATCCCTAAACTGTAGACTTTCATCTTTCCCTTAAAACAAATTACTTTTGAGACTGGAGCGGTGGGTACCACAAGGAAGACTACAAGCAAAAAACAGAAAAAGTAATCTTGTGCTTAGAGACCCTGAAGAGTGTACTTGCTGGACTTAGGCAATTATGTTTGGCAAATGGACAAGCCTTTGGTTCCTTTTTTTAAAGAAAACTACATGTGAACCTGATCCATCCAGTTTCTCAACTGGATTAAATACAACTTGCAACCAGACAGTCTTGATTAACCATTTTTATGCACTTCTTCCATGCATAAGCTATAGTGTGTGCTGTTTTAGTATTACCATTCCAGTTTGTGTATGTCACTAGCTTGGACACATAACTCAGGTTGTGCTTTCCAGACTCCACTGTTTGTACTTCTCTTGATTTGAGTATTATCTCAAGGTCAGCAATGACAAGTAGTTAAAGCAGAGAGTTTTACAGTGTTGTTTGTAGTTACTGTGTATGCCCTTTACATTGTACTGTAGGTATAACATAGTACATTATACATTCTTGATGCTATGTGCTTGTCTTCCTACCTCTTGAGGAAGCTTAACTGCTACTTTAAATATGTATATTGCAAAGCTTATTATAGGACTTCAGGACTGACATGTCCAGAATCACTATTATTAAAATTGTCACCTGTCTAAGCTGAGGATTAAACATTGCATGAGAAATTGCAAAGGGCAACTCCATGAGTAGAATCACGTGTGTGGTTATACCAGGAAACTTTAACGCCATCAGGGTGTGTTGTGATTCATGAGCCAAAGGTTACATACTTTCAGCGTTTTGAACAGACTGACTAATTCCTGTACCACTTCATTCTTTGACCTATTATTGATTGTACAAAGAGTTTGTCTTGTTTTAAAGATCTGAGAGTAACTGGTTGCACAGCACCAGCCCACTAAGCTGTGTGAGACCTGTCAGATGGAATATATTGATTAAAATACCAACTTAGTTCTGGAGACACGGATTCTTCTGTTGGTTTTGCTGCAGAGTCCTTGGCTGGTCTTGGGAGGGGAGTGATGGTAAAATTGTTATTTAATAACTGCTTCTCTCTCAGGGTGGCAGGGGGAACGTGTTTGCAAAAGTGATGAATGATTTTTGGATGCTCCTGTGTTGGATGTACAGCTTAATTTATTTGAAAAGGGCCTGATTTGGGAGAGGGGAGGACCCCTGCTGTCAACACTTCAGGGAACCTGAAATTGTGCGCCCTAAAACTAAGGCATGCCAAAGGGAGGGTACTTTGCAAAACGAGGTGTGAACACTGTGAGAGGTAAATTCAAAATCCAGATTCAAATCTTGCTGGTGCTTTGGATCAGTAGTTAAACTAAGCTTTCTAAAAGTGAAATGATGGCTAATAAGCTGTGACTCGGAACTACGTTAACAGCTACAATACATCTTTATAACTGTTAAAATGCAAGCATTTTTCAATCTCCTCCTGAAATAAAAGCAGGGATGTGAAATCACATAGGATTTCATAGTCCGAGATTTCTTCTCTCTGTGTATAGCCCCGTGTTCAGTCTCCTGTAGATCCTGCTCAGTAGACTAAACCACAAGCTTAGGTATACATGGGCTCTGAGGGGCGATCCAAGTCCAGAGGAAATGAGGGCCTGGTTTGACATAAAAGAAAGTGATAAGGTATTGGGAAGAAGTACTATTTACTTATGAATTTGCAGGATGAGATGCTGGAGATCTTTTGGGTGGACCAAAAGAACAGATGAAGTAATTTCAGGTTGTGTTCACAAAGAAACTCCTCACTTGTTGCTTTACTCAGAGGGATGGAGAGGAGGAAGCATGTTCTAGAGCACACTAGGGAAAAAAACCCAAACACTTCCTGTCATTTCAGGATAATATTAAAGCCCCTGAAGAGGGCAGGAGCCTTCATTTGTTCTTCAGGAACAGTCCTTCTGCCATGGAGCCCTTTCCCTTAGGCTCTGCAGCACGTATGAGAGGGTGCTGATATGTAGCAGCTGCTTAGTTTTTTTTCTCGCTCCCAAGCCTGCCTCTCTGCCTTCACTCTGTCAATGCCTTGACTTGCATTCTTAGTGATTCTGTTTCAGTATCCATCCAGGCTGAGCTGCGTGTCAGTTCACACAGAGTCTGTTTTTAATTATCTCCCTTTTCTGACGGGATCTCAGTGTTAAGCCAAACTGAATAATTATTGTGCTGCTTTGGAGAGATTTTCATCTTTTTTTTCTCCCCAAATGTTTGCTTTCCCATTAAAAATTGATCAGAGTCTTGAGGTGGTTGCTTTGCTAGCAGTTACTTAGATTCTTGAGGATATATTACTGCATTTGAGTGAGAGGCAAAGTCTCTTCTTTTTACATATGGCTATGAGAATGTGCTTTTCCATGAGAAAATATTCACTCTTCAGTTAACCCTTCATGCTATATTTTCTGTTTGTTTCTTCAGTTCATCAGAAGAGGCACTATGAAGAGAAATATGATAGTGGTAGTAACGCTGTGACTGGAAGGGTGTCCAGATGTATGGTTAAGTTTGTAATTAGAAGCAGTGTCTGTTGTTATCCAGACTGATATAGCTATGGTGGACAGGGGGACAGACAAACGTTTGGGCACTGGAGTCCTTCAGTCTGGAACAGGAGAGAACTGAACTGAGAATAATAGCCATTGTTCTATGTTAATTATCTTGAACTATTAGGCAATTACTTTTGATGGTCTATTTGAGAGGAAAAAGATAGTTAGCTGTTGTGGGATAGAGAGAGAGACAGATGATTATGGCCTTTTGAAATATTGAGGATTAGCTGGAGGAAGAGGATGGAGAAACTTGTGATGCATGCTAACACTAATATTCCCATTGGATCTCGGAACTATTCCCAGTTAGACACATCAGCTTCCAGGCTTAGAAGCAGTTGGAGTTTCACTTCAGACTTGCAAATGGATTGGATTAATATTTTGTGAAAAGATATTCTTCCATTGCTAATGTGGTGTCTGTTTCCCATATTCATGTGAACTCATTCATGGCGGTTGCCTGTTTCACTCCCAAGGCTTCTGTGAGTGCATCTGGTGAGTGAAGTAGGATATGTGAAGTCTGGTACTTTTTTTCAGAACAGGGTGGGAGCATTTATGGTGGTAGTTGAAGAAATGGCTTGGCAAATCTTGCTTTGGTTGCTCTGGTGTGGTTCTAGTTATCACACTTTGGTTTGTGGGAAGCAGTTTAGCTCTGTTCTCAAAGAAAACCACAGGGAGCACAGTGTGCTCCCAACAGATGAGGAAACAATAACTGGGGAATTGAAGCAATCTGTGGAGATAAATGGGAGGTTGAAGGACATAGTAGGACAGAGAGAGATGGAGAAGAGTAAGGTGTGGTCTTGCTCTTATCTACCTATACTTTCTCCTCTCCACAACTGATTTTTTTTATTTCCTTCCACTTCTCTAACCTTCATTCCACTGTCTTAGCTCTGCTCTACTTCCAAAGAAACCCTGCTTTTTCCTGATTTTTTTTTTTTTTTCCTCCCCTTCCTTCCCTCCTACTCTGTTAGATGTGTTCCAAACACAGAATCCTTTGTTCTAAATAACCTCCTCAGTTATGGACTTCCAGGCCCATTGTTATCATCTCACAAGAGACTTATTTATCACCTGCCCTCAAAACTGAATCCTTTGTTCCCTTATCTCGTATACCTCTCTTAATTTCTTGCATGCTCTTTATCCTATCATTTCATTAGGCTGTGGAGAAACTCTTGAGAGCACAACCAGAATGTGTGTAAAAATTTGGAAACGAAGGGGACAAGAAACAAAGACTATTGCTGCCAGTTTCCTCCTTTTCCTTGGACACTTCCTCAGTTTCAAATCAGGAGATGGGAATCCAATCCCCAGCACTTGAATTCCTCCTGAATATCACCTTACAAAGCACTGATCTCCCTATCTTCCTACCCTTATTACCAGGAAAACTCTGAATATGAGCAAAGCTTGATTAGATAAATAGTCAAATGCTCTGCAAGCATCACAAGCCTATTCCAGAAGACAGTTCTCAGTACATAATCAAATAGCTGCTAAATACAAAGAAGGAAGTTAGGAGTCTGTGGTTCCTTAAGAATAGCACAAGCTTCTATTGTTTGCTTGTTTGGGTTTTTTTTAAAGCTCAGGGATGTTGGTTAGTTCATACATAACAGATATGATTTGTGAATTACTAAATGAAGAAAAATGTGTAACAAAATCACCTGAAGTTCTCTTGCTCTTGAAAGCATCTGGAGCCTTTACTGGTAACTTCAGTTGAGCTGAGATTTCTCACCATCTGCTTCATTCCTTTCTTCCCATCCAGGTGAAGTCAAAAAGTGACTCCAGTGCCAAAAGGATTCACAGTGTTTTTAAGGAAGCAATAAGGATGCTAAAAGAAAAAGGGGTGGTTTTCCAGAAACCTAGTAGCTGCAAGGACTTATACCATGTAAGGAACTGAGCTGTGGTTGCAAACAAGTTCCGGGGTATGACTCTCATAGTCAGTAGAAACAGTAGAAATGTTTCAGAAACAGTAGCTGGCATCCAAGTGCTGTCTGTTTACTCAGAAGTCTTGTTTGCAGCTTACTTCACTGTTGCTTTTACTTCTGCATCGTCCACTGAGTTCTTTTTGTAACTCAGCACCAGACTTAAGCACTGCTGCTGTTCCAAGTGCAGTCTGTGTTCACTGGGTTGCCAAACTGTGCGCTGATCCAGCTGAGCACGCTGAAGCCTGGGACAGTTCACTTTATCGAAGTGAGTTGAAACTTGGTGTTCTGCTGAGTCAGTCACCCTCCTTTGGGTTGAATTCTGGTACATCAGGTTCCTCACCTAAATCATGGATGCTGCTAAATGGTACTAAAAATAATAACTGAAGATTTAACATTCATTATTAGTCTCGGAGGCAGTATATAATGCAGACTGTAGTTATGACAGTGTTAGTTTAGAATACATCATGGCCTTGGATTGCTTTCCAACAGCCATGCCATCTACTGTGAAATAGACTGCTATAAATTGCCAGTTTCTTCTGTTTTCTCCAGGTGACTGACCATGATAAGGAGCTGCTTAAAGTGACCCTTGATGTGATTAAAGATGACTGTCGAAAACCCAGGCGTAAGTAGCAGTGTGATCAGGGCTCTGATGAGCTGGTGCTGATATATTGATGACAATATCTCCTCCTGCTGATGGATTAGATATGCTTCTTGTCCTTACCCTTGAACTCGGAGCGAAGTTGCTGGTGTAGCTAATCAGTATAGCTAAAAGCAGGAGTGCAAGAGCGGCTTCCTGTGAGCATAGAGAGGGAAAGAGCAGGTGTGCCCAGCAGGAAGCAAACCTCTCATATCTGAAATAAACAGCCATCATCCTAGATCTATAACTTTTGAGAATACTTAGATTTTGGGAGGAACCAAATGTAATGAAGTTAGGTCAGCACCTAGCAGCTCTTGCTTTGCACTCTGGATAAGTAGCAAATCTTGCTAGTTCAGTTTCTACAGGGGAGTTGACACAAAAGTTACCATTCAGAAAGGTGAAATCCCCGCCTCCATTAAGTCAACAATAAAATTTATTGAAGTCAGTAGGATATTCTCTGTAGATTTTAAGCTCAGGTAGAGCTCAAGTTGTTGTTTTTTGCAGGTAGGGATTGCAGTCTAACAAAAATCCACGTCTTTTCAGATAATGTACCTCGTGTGGCTTCTGAGTTATCCCTGTCCCTCAAGCCTATTGTGTCTTATTGCCATAGTGATAGCTTGTGCTTGACTTGAATGTCTGCTAATTAGACAGGTACATTGCTACAGAGTTTCTTTCAATTCATTGGGCAGAATGTGTCAGCAGGGATCACTTGCTGCTGGAGTGCAGCTCTCTGTGTGGTAGAATGCACTTTAGTACAGAATAAATGACTGACTGGAACATAAGGCATATAATCTTAAATTGCTCATATCCTTATACTATTGTAACTATAACAGTGCTTGTAGGACCTGGTATATGATGGTTATCCTGCAGTGAAAAAAGGCTGGGTGAAGTAGTATTATTTTTGAGTTTTCAACTGGCTACTTTAAGCAGTGGTACAATTGTAGACAGGGTTTGTAGGTGGAGGTAAAAGTTCTCTGTCTTTGGGGGATGGAGGGAGTAGATGTTACTGGGCATGCAGGTGAAGATGGGCTTATTTGCCTGAGGCTGTTTCGGTGCAATGTTACCATATCACATTGTTTTGTTGTCTTTTATCCAATTAACAAATACAAACATCATCTCTGTAAGAGTGAAATCATTCCTCTGCCCATTTTATACATCAGCTAGTTCTCCTGGGAACTTGTGGGGTTTTTTGTTTGTTTGGTTGTTTTTTTTTAAGAATTGTGCCACTATAAAGGCCAGAACCTGTATACAGTTGAGACATGGCACTGAGTGACTGCTTGGTGTTTAACTCCTCTGCTGTGCATTATTACCCTGGTAAAGTACTCTCAGTGCTCCTTGAGGGGTTGGGAAGTTCTTTTTCCCAGTCAGGAGGAGTCAGTAGCAGAGAAACTTTAGATCAGTCACAGAAAAGACTTTGAAGAGTCCTGAGTCCTCAAAGCATGTGTTCCATACTGAGCAGGTTAAAAATAGCAACTGCTTTACAGAGCCTCTTGCTCTACTTGAAGCTTTCCACCTACTTAGTTTCCTGTTGTAAAGAGGACAATTTCCAGGTCGGTGTCTTTTTGCTAGTTTTCAGAAGGACTGTTTTAATGTCCTGGTCACTGGTAATAGAAGATTTTGGGAAGGAAAGCCAAGAAGTGTCTGTCAAAACCAAGAGGGTGGATATTCTATTGTCACGGAATGATGCAAGAGCACAGCGCTCAATGTAACTGTCGGCCCCCCTCTGCTGGTGGGATGGCAGTCTTAGCCACCTGCTTGGCCTCGACTGGTGAGCAGGCTCCTGGTGAGAAACTAAGAACATGGTAATACCTCACGGGCTTTTGCTTGTTTGTTGCAAGAAATTCCCACCCATTTTCCTTCAAGAGTAATATTAATCTTCCATGACAGGAAGACTGATTTATAATAAACCAAACTCTTCTCTCCAATGAGTTCTCTCTGCCAGTTTTCAAGGCAATGCCTCACCCCATTGCTTTAGTTGTGACACATTCTCAGGCCCAACCCAGTTGCCTGGATCTATTGTACAAATAAAAAAATCCTCAGCATGCCTAGTCAGAGCTCCGCAAACCCTGTTCTGTAATATGCCTACATGACAATCCTAGTTCTTGGCTCCAATTGTAATTCCAAACAACCTGATCTTAAATGCCCTCATGCGAGGCCACTGTGGGTCTATCTAGAGGCTTAAGATAGCCAGAAGAGGGTGACAGTACGTTTTGACTCCAGACTGAACTGCAAAATGGTAGACTTAGTCCAGATTTCTTTTTTTTTCTTTTTTTTTTTTTTTTTGACAAATTTGCTCTGGTTTTAGGTTACATGAAGCTAATAGTAGAGAGGAAAAAACCAGAACTATTTGAAGTTAAATTTAGTATGTCAGAATGGACCCTGTGTGAGATGTCCACAGTGGGCAAATGGTAGTTGTTCTATAACTCTGTCCTCTCTGATACTGGTAGTCAGGCAAGACAGTTAATAGCATCCTGGCTTACCTCAGCTGGTGGACAAAAGCTAGAACCCACTATGTCAATGAAAGAGGGACAGCATCACTCCACTGCAAGTAGCGTATTCCCTCAAAGTTGGGTCATAGACTAGGAGTGTTTCTGGGTTACTTAATGATTGTACACACATGCAGCTACCCCAAAATGCCATTTCCTGCCAGCTTCTAGGAGGAAGGTATGTATTGTTCTGTTGGGTAACACCTGAGTCACTACTAATTCATCGAGACTTAAGCTAAGTTACTGTAGATCCGGGATGGACACTTTGACCTTCTTATGACAAACCTATGACTAATGCAAAATGCAGCTACCCAATTCGTTTGCAACAACAGTCACTATCACCAGGTAGAGGCATGGTTTTGTTCTCTGCATTGATCCATCCTAGGGTGGTGGATGCATTTTTGGCTACCAGCCACAAAGGTCTTTTATCATGCTGGATCACTGGCTTCTAAAGAAGTATCTTTGCTTGCTTCACAGCCTAATAGGAATTAGGCTGAACTGTTTATTTACCAATACTTAGCATTGCCTCCTATCTACCAGTGACTTTCCTCAGCAGCTTCTAAGGCAGTTCTGGGGCTCAGCCAATTCTAGAGTAGAGATTGGCAAAAATAAAAACGAAGGCAGCAACAACAAAATAGAGGGACCTCCCTGGCCTGTGACAATTTCTCAGTACCCTTATAAAACTTACCTTACATCATGTGAGCTGAGGGCTGAGGAGGAGGAAAATCCTTTGTGCTGATGTGTCTCATTTATGCTAGTTTTCCATTGTTAGCCATGGAGGAAAAAGAAATCTGTTGTGGAGTTCAGCACTTGGGGAGACTGGGAGCCTGCAGCACTGATGATTAGTGGGTTTGCGGGGTCTGTTAGAGGAAATGTCGACTGGGACAGCTGAGCTTCAAATGATGGCTCCGCTAGGCACACAATAGCTGCGTGCAATACCACAGCCATTAAGGACCTTTGGCTTGCCCTCTAGGAAAGGGGATTATTTTTACATTCCTGTTCTCTTGTACATTTTCAGGGTTCATTCCTCTTAAAAGGAGATAAAATTTGATACTGAAGTTCTGTGACTTTCTACACCTGTAACTGAGTAGTCTGAAGTGCGGGGATGGGATTACATTGGTAGGTGAATGAAAGTTGCACTGTAGCAGTTTTTCCACAAGATGCCAGCATTGGGCAAACAGTTACAGGTCCTTGCCACAGACCTACCTTCTGTTCTAGACGTTTTTGAAGTTGGGTATGAGCAAAAGGATTTTCATTTGGTTTCTTCTGCAGTTGTGGAAACTGAATGGCATGCATAGGTGGACACTGGAGGTACCCTTAAGTTATTAACCTCATCATCAGGTTGTACTGAATGAGCACTGGAGAGTTTGCAAGACTAATTATCTTTCGCCCTCATTACTAGTGTTACTGCCCTGACAATTCCCAGAGAAGTCAGTGGGAACGGTTGATAATTGGAGAACTGTAGGCACAGATGGGAATCTCTTCCCTCTGAATACATGCATCTCTGCTTTAGTACCTAGGGCGTTCTTCCTCTCCAACAGCTGTTTTTTTAATGACTAATCTGGTTTATAATAGTTAAAAAGAGCCATTGACTGAAGTCATTCCTCCATGCGTGGCTGCATTTTCCTGTTTTTTTTCTGCAGATGCTGAAAAAGGCTGCCATTTCCTTCATGTCCTGACCTGTGTTCGGCAGAGCTACAACCCCTCTCTGGCTGAAGTGGTGATGCACCGTGTCTTGGAACTGCTGGAGAGTAACAGTGATGTTGTCAGCACTATGGAAGGATATTATATGGCATTTTAAAGAGAGAAGATAAGACACATTCATTCTGGTCCGTTCAGGATAAAGGAGGGAAGGAGGAGAGGTTGAGTGACCCTGAAAAGCTGCTATTACCTGGTATGATCTAGGTGGGGGAAAAAAAGAGCATTCTGATTCTACAAATACTGTTTTTATCCAGCTCCAAAGAAGTTGTTCAAGTACTTGTTTTAATATTCTTGCTGACTTCCTCACTATTCCTAGGGAAAGTTGTATCAAGCTGATTCTGGACATCCTAAAACAGCAGGGGAGCTGGAAAAGAAGCTGGGCTCTTTCCCTGCAGTAAGATGTGACATAGCCATCTGTCCTCACATTTACATCCAGTGAGCCCTAAAGAAAAGTCACTGCTAAAGAGCACTGCTTGCAGCAGTGGTCACGTCAGGACTCGTTTTTCTGGCTTAAAGACTGATCTTGTAATCTTTCCATGTGGTAATAGCTGTGGATCTTTCTTTTTATGTATACTTTGTAATAGCTAGAGAAAGGACGTGCAAGCAAACAATCAAAAGATTTGCCTGTCCTTCCCAGCAGCGTTGGTGTACCCATGTCTGTAAATATGTACTCCTGAATGTGCACAACTTTCCCACTACTAAAGCAGTCCTCACCTTTCTCTGAAAAGTAATATTCAGGAATGGGGTCCTGTATCCCTTCCCCATCCTGCAACCTTGCCCACTGCTTGTCAAACATGTCTGCATTCTCTGTGCTACCGTGTGCGCTACTGATGCCTGTTGTTGTGGATTCTGTTCGGACCAGAATTCTCAAAATCAGCCACCGTTTTGCTGTTCATTTTTAAATTGCTTCCTACCTCATAAACGGTAAACCATAAATCAGATGCTCTGGAAAAGAAAATATGGAAGCTAGCAAGTCCCACTGTAATCTGCATGCTCCCCGTTGCCTTTTGTGTCTTCTATTCCTTGTCATCTTTGAGGAAAAATGCTATCTATATCTGTGCTTGCAGAGGAGCACAAGACATTGATGAAATAACATTGGCCTAAAGAAGGTTACTGTGCAAGACACTTTATTTGTAATAATCAGAACTCTGTTATGAGCCACAGTTCAAAGCCTGGAGCTGTTCAGTATTTATCCTTAGAGAGGGCTTCCTGCTGCAGGGGCTTGTCTGTTTAATTAATCTGTTTAATTAATGGTGTGGATGTGAGACCTTTAACTTGAAAAGAGTAGAAAGGATTGAATGTAACCTTCCTTTTTCCTCTGCACCTTCCCTGTAACAGTTGAAATAGCAGACTCCCGGGGGGCAGATGTAATGGTAAAGCCCTATAAGGATTGACATAGCAGGGAAAAATAAACCATATGCATGAGGAAAGCCAGTGAGTAGCCCTGTGTGTGCCAGGTCTCTGGTTTGTTGTTATATTATATGCCTCATACCAAACCCAGTGAGATATAGGCTAAGAGAAAGGCATGACAAAGTATTTGGCATTTGCATTCAGAGGTCTGTGGAAAACTCTGGCCTTAAAGAGATGGTGTGTATGTCCATAGTGGAAAACTGTGTATGAATCATTCTTTTGCTGTAAATTCCCTACTTGCTGCAGGGCTCAATAGTCAGTTTCCCTGCAGGCTGCCTTACTCCTACCGTTGCTGCTCTGTTTTGAGTTGGGTATGTTCTAGTCAGATCTTAATATGGGCCTGAACAGGTGCTGAAAGGATGTACATGTACAGAAAGAAATAAAAGAGAAGAGGATTAAGAAAGAATTGTAGCAGTCGTCTTCCCTGCACACACATCTCCCTCCCCCTGTCTCTGGAAAGCAGGGAAACGAGTCCAGATTCTGAGTGAAGTGGTACTGAGGGGAACTGCAACTTTAATTTATGCCTACAAAAAGGTCTGGGGCCAAAAGGGAGATTGGCTTCTCGGATTCCTGCTCTGATTACTGGTCAGATTGAAGTGATGCTTAAAAACAAAGGCTGTCTATGGAAGAAGTAGTTTGGAATATTGATTCCTAAATTCAGACTTACTTCAGAAGTTAACCTTGTGTTACTGCTTAGTTATGGAGAAGTCGCCTACTTGGCATGAATGTGAGGATATTTTGAGGAAAGTACATGGTGTCTTGAACCATAAGGAAGAGCATGGCATCTAATTTAAGAGACTGACTTGGCCATTTTCTTCAAGAGTCCTGTATTAGCAGAAGCTGATTTTGCTGGGAAAGGGTTAAAAGAACACTGCTAGCTCAGTGGGAAAGGTGATCTCTCCTAGGTTAGAAGAGAGAAAGACTCTGGTTCTCCTGAGGGTGTCAGCCAAGTGTGTGGGCTGGATGAGTTTTGGAAGGAGTGCTGCACAGCTGAATCTTGGAGGAAAAGATAGTCTGGAGATCGTATTGCTCTTTAGGGTCTCTTTAAAATAAGCTTGGATACTCATACATGCAGCATCTAATATGTTCTGTTGCCTCCAACTTTGATGCTGCACTTCCTGTGTTTTTGATGCGTTTCTGTGTGTAAAATCTGCCTAAAACCCCTGGCCACCTATCTTCTATGCATTGGAGGTTGATGCAGGCACAAAGTGTCTTCCCCCTCTATTCTGCCCCTGTTGCAATTTAAAAGCACTGATCAACTGCAAAGCATCAGAGATGAGGTGGGAAGAATTCATCTCGGGAAAGATGGGTAAGTGACTATGGAAAGAACCTGTCCTTGGAAGTTTTAGAGCTGGTCCTTGCTGGCGATGCTGGACTCCTGTGACTGAGGGTACATTCTGTTGGAGATTGCTCCCCAAGAACAGAAAAGAGGGATTTTTCTCACTTGAGTTAGCTCAAAGAAATATGAATGAACACAAGGGAGCCTACAGTTTTTACAGGAGTGAAAGATTAAAGCAAAACTAATGGAGGAGCCTAGACTTTTAAGTTACACAGAATCTGATTCTGAATAACTGCACAGAATAGTTGTGCCTTAAGCTTGCATGCTTTATTTTTTCAATGGTAGCTATGCCACACAGACTAACGCTTACTCTGGTTGAGCGCATTCCCTCTCTTGTAGCTACGGGGAATACCATATGCATATGCCTGCACAGAAGTACTCCAACTAGCTGTGGGAGCACAGAGCTCACTGTAGGTCAATTTACCCATTTTCTCAGTATCTCTACAGTATGCTTCTGTGACAGCAGTCTAGACATACCCATATTGGTATAAGTCACCTTTATGTAAGTGTAAGTACACACACTAGGGCTTTTACTGCTAATAAACTGTCTCTCTGTTTAAAGATCATGTCCTTAACCAAGAGAGTCATATCATGCACGCTATTAAAATTCTTAGACCACACCTACAAAATATTGTGCAGAACATTCAGTGAAAGCGCGCTTTCTTGTTTTGTTTAATTTGAAAACTTGTTAGGCAACACAATTATTACTGCTTTATTAAAGGACTTTGAAGGTGGCACTTTAATGTAAAACTGACAAGTGAGAATTCATGTTGTAGGACTGCTTCATGGCCAGTTCCAGTTTCCATAGAAACAGTTATGGCAGTAAAAGGCAGGGTAAGTAAAATGGAGTTTTTAAAAGCAGTGAGAATTTTTGTTACCTTAAAAAGGTATGTTTCCATAGAAATGCAGTGCCTGAGAACAAAAATTACTAAAGAATCTTAATATTCTGTTCTAGCAAAATGTAAGGTGATTGCTTTTCTGGTGAGAAAACAAAGGAACAACTCTACCTTCAGTCCCTGCCATCTGCTTAGGTGACAGAAGAGATGAGGTTGCTTCATGCCTCAGTTTCCCTCTTTGTAAATAGGGGATAATACAATGCCCTGTGTAGGGCATAAGTCTCAATTTTTCTTAATGTTAGTCATTAAAAGCTCTTGAGATCTATTGGTGGGAGCTCTTAGAGAAGAACTCTGTGGGAGTGGATGAATGGATAGATGCTGGAGTGAGACTTAGTTCTAGTCCAAGCCCCACTTTGCTAATAGCTTTATCTTTCTCTGCCTCTCCTTCCATGCATGTTGTTTTGCCTGTCTTATCTTTTTGCTCTCCAGGTCCTATGAGGCAATGATGGTCCCCCTGTTTTTGTTTGTACTGAATATTTTTCCTGGAATACTGTTCCGTCTTGTGACTTCTTAAATGACTTCTTAAAAATAGAAATCCAGATAAATGAGTTCTGAGTCTTCTTGTTCTCACATCTTTGGATTGTAAATTTTCACCCATGAGGGTATGTATTTTACACAAGCTACCTGGGAAATGAAGCTTTTCTTTCAAAGCAATAAATGAAAAATTTAAAGATTGGCTACATGACTGAAAGCTGTTATTTTTGTGGATCTGTCCATACTTGTGTATTCCAGTGATGAACACCATAAATAGAAGGAGTTGCTAATTCATTATTCAGAATGAGAATTCATCAATGAGCAGCTAGTGAAGCATGGAGCCGCATGGAGAATTATGAGACAAAGTACTGAAAATCTGCTTGTCAAAGATATGCAGTTGCATTTACTTTGGGAGTAAGCTGATCCTGTGGGGAAAAGATGTGCCTAGCAAAGATTTGTATCTTTATACTTACTTTTAAAAGGGAAGGGAGCAAGTTCAGATCCCATGGGCAACCTGAATTTTGGAACTTCCTGTCAGTGTGGTGCTATGTTCTTTAATTGCCATCTTTCAGCACAGTCTCCAGCCCTCCTGCCCCAAGCCTACAGGCTAGTGAGCAAACAAAAGTTCAGAATAGTTATAATAATTGGTTACCATCCTCCAGGAGCCCCAGCATTACAGAAACATTTTTGTGGATGTTTGTTGGCAGCAGGTAAATGCTGAGTTGGAGATCTTGGGTTTCATTCCCAGCGATATGCCCTGTCAGGCACAGAGGCTTTCCCCCTAATTTCTTTCATCTATTTCTGCTCCCCACTCTCCTCTAACTGTCATTTCTCAGGCCTTTCATTTCATTTCATTCGCAGTCTCACGGTTCATCTCTGCACCACAGATCCTGGTCAAACCTCCTTCCTCTCTACTTTGTTCTTTTTTCTTTCCTAACTCAAATATTGTTGCCAGCATCTGGCAATTGAATGTTTCAGTAT